CTTTTTCTTTTTTTTTTTTTTTGGGAAGGGGAGCACAAATTGTTCAGTAGATAAAATTCCATTGTTTCTGCATAAATTCTAGCAATCACCGATTTAGAGACAAATTCATCAGTAACAATCAAAAAATGCATTGATAAGTACAAGTAAAAATGATAGTACTGATCTTCAAGAGCAATTGAAGCAGCATCCCAAAAAAGTTGTCAAATGCTAAATCAAAAGAGAGAAAAAGGGTTAAGGGGTCACTGGAGCAACTGGTGCTATTCTCCGATTAAAGAGAGAGGAAATTTTATGGCGTTGACGGAGAAGAAAGTTGCCGTGAAAGTGCCAGAGGAGAGAGATGAGAGAGAGTTATGTCTGCGAGCTAGGTAACTTAAGAAAAAAATCTATGTTTAAGATGACCCGTTTAGGCTCCGTATCTCAACCCACTTCTGTATGGAATTAGAATTGGAAATATTGGACCTGTTTGACAAACAAGTTTTTAGCCAAATTTGTCTGATATAAAATTTTTTAACAACTTTAGGGTTTGTTTGACAAACAAGTTTTTAGCGAAGTTTATTTGTTATAAAATTTTTAACAACTTTATCTACGGCCCCGTTTGGTAAACAAGTTTTTTGGATGTTTGTCTAAAATTTTACTGTAACTTACCGTAGAAATTGTAGGAAAAAAATTTTAAAGTGTATAATTTTTTGAATATTTTGAAGTGTATAGTTTAAAAATTTTGAGAAATTTTTTGAGATTACTGTAATTAAAGTTATTAAAAAACTTGTAACAGACGAATTTGGCTAAAAATTTGTTTGCCAAACATGTGAGAACCTCGAGAAAATATATATATATATATATATATATATAAATATACATACATACATTCATCTACATGCATATTTCATTCGCATTTCTAATTTTTTAAATAAATTTTAGTTTTATCTTTACTTGTTCTTAACTAAGTACGTGAAAATAATTCCTATGTTATAAATACTATAATTGTGCTAAAACATTCAATTAATTGGTTTTAGTTATGTTAAATTAATATTGCATGAGTTAGATTAATTTTATTGCCTTGGTATACTTAGGACGTTAAAAATCTCGATAATCGAATCTCTGCAAGATTAGTATATTATTAGGCATTCAATTTACATTTGGGGTAAATTTTGGAATTAGATTAGAATTGAGGTCTTAGGTGGAAATTCGGAGGAAATGTGAAAAGACTAAAATAGCCTCCACAATTTTGGAAATTACCATGCAACCATCCGAGCTCCATTGGCCACTCTTCAAATCAGAACATTTCCATTCTCTGCCGGACTGCATTTCCTTTTATCCTCTCAAACACTCCACCTCCCTCATCCGCAACTCATTTCCATTCCACCACCTCAACTCACAACAACATTTCCTTTGCCTTGTTATCATCGACGAAGTGCGAGAGAGGGAGTTGCATTCCGTACTCTGCAAGTCGAGAGGAAAGAAAAGAAAGGAAGCCGCGCGAGAGCTGTAACCTTTCCGTTCTAGAGAGGGAGAGAGCAAGTGGAAGTCGTGTGAGCTGCTGATCATCACCACCTTCGTCAACTCCAGCCATCAAAACCACAGCTGCACCAACCGCAACCAGGACCAGCACATCCTGTTAGCGAGCGAGCCGAGAGGAGAGAAAATTTCAGTTTCTCTGTTGCGTGAGTGAGCTTCGATCTGAGGTAATTTTCTGGACTGAGATGCGTTGATCAGAGGTAGATTAGGCTGGTTATGGACATGCATGTGATATTGTACCTTCAGATGATAAGCTAAGACAATGAAAAATCTGATTTGTGGAAAAAATGGGTTTACCGAGAGCTTGTTCAGGAAATGCAGCTTTTAATTTGCTTTCTTGGGATAATTTGAGCCGATAGATGTGATTAACTAACTAAAAACAAGATTATTAAGTCTTGCATGAGGTTAATTAGTTCGATTAAGCCAGGAAATAAGAATGAAACAGAAACCTGCTGCATGCAAGCTCATCCGAGAGTAGTTGCACAAAATTCTGGAATTATGGATGAATGTTGTTGTTGCCCGAACTGATTTTGGACTGGAAATGATAGCTAATTAGTTCAATAGTTGTGCATGTGAGATTTGAGTGCAAAATACAAGGTTTTAGCCAAAGGAAAAATTTGGATTGTGACTGATCAAATGCTGGAAAAGTTTCTGATTTTGCCGAGGGAGTGAAACTGGAAATTTCAGCTTGTTCTGGAAATCTTCTGTGGAGAATAACATTTGGAAATGCATAAAATATGTTGTTCTAAGTCTTGCTAAATACCTAGATGTGAAGCTCTTGATATGTTGCTAGTTTTGGCCGGAAATGTTAAAACTAAGCTGCTGAAATTTTCCAGTTTCGGCCGAGGAAAGGCATGGAGAATTTTCTAGTTTTCCTTACGAATTTTGGGTTCCAAATTGTTACATTAAAGTTTGATTCGCTATATCATACCTGAGTTTTAACATGCAAGTTAGATTTGAGGGTATAATGAAGAGATTATTGGTTGAAATCTTGGGTAAGACGTTGTATCAAATCTTGTCCCTGTGTTCATGTACATGTTAGCGACTTTTAACAGTTTCATTTTAGTTGATTCGTGATAATAAGAAATTGTTGGATACCAAGAGTTAATGATTGACGAAACCCTAGTGAAACTGCTGATTGAAATGTAATTTTGCTGTATTGGCCAACTGGGGTATAATGTGCGTGTGAATTGGAATCGTGAAATCCGTTTTGGTCCTGTGGACTTGAGTATTTTTAAATCAAGCTACGTGAATATATTTCGCCTAGTATTGAACTATAAATTTTAGTATAGTACGGTAATGCTAGAAATCCGGGTGCCGGGATTTTTCTTAAAACCTCGCCAACTAGTATATCTTCCTTTGAATTAAACTAACCTTATTATTTTTTAGGAAATAGTTACACTAGTTTTAGACCTTAGATTTCTTTAAAAATTGTCCCGACCAGTTACTTTAGAGAAACTTGCCAAAAATATGAGATTCGGATAATTTTAAAGGAAAAGACGTAGGAAACTTGTTCGGCAAGAAACCTTACTTCAAGTAAATTAGTTCTAGCCGCTCCGTTAGAAAGAAAAGTATTTTTTTTTAGGAAACTATACGAAATAATTTACTACTTCTACCAGTTTTAATTCTAAGTGGAATTGTCGATTTATTTTGAGAAAGTAAACTAGTTATACGCTAGATAATCTTTGATACACGAAAACCTAGAACTTGTATAGAAAACTTATAGTCTTTAAAACTTGGTTTTCTAGGGTTTAACGAGGACGCGGATTTCGATTCCCAGCTTGACTTTTGAGCTTCACTCTTGGTGAGTGTCCCTGTTTGTTCTATGCTTATTTGGTTAAAATGCTTTCTTGACTCGATTTGTGATAACTTGGAAAATGGTTTCTGATCCATCGAAGTGAGCTGTGTGTACTTTATCACATTAGCCTTTCGAGTGGTGACTTGCTTGAAATGTTTTCGTGAATATTCTGCTTGCACTTGCTAAGTGTTGGACGTAACGTCGTTCGGTGAATCCCTCGACCAGTCTATGGTATCTAAGTGTTGGACGTAACGTCGTTGGGTGAATCCCTCGATTAGTCTATAAAAAAATATATTCAAGTATTACCAAACTACTATTTGCGGTATGCGGGCCCGGTAGAGGGTTGATTGGTGGATAGACTTTGGTGAAAGTGGTGTTCTACGGAATTGCGTGTTGTAAGTACAAACGTTGACGGAGGGTCAACGGCAGTCAATTTTGATCAAGCTTTGGAAGAACGGCTCCTGAGAGCCCCTATATCCTACCTTATGCTGTTATACGCTTTCCTAATTGTTAAATTTTGTGAAAATTATTACTTGCTGTTTGATTTATGTGATTGCATGTTTCGGGGCACCACTGAGATTTAGCTCACCCCACGTTATTTGTTTTCCTTGACAGGTCCTGGCATTTTGAGAAAGATTTGAACTCTACTTTTACTTTGTATGGTTGTAATTCGTATTTAACAATGTAGCTTTTGTTTAGGGTTGCCACTTGAAGTTGGAAAAGTGTAGACCCTAAATTTGTCATTTGGCTTGTATGAAACTGTTGTTTGGAATTATTTGATTTTGCTTCGTGGGCCTGAAACGCGTGAGGTATTTAAGAATCGACGATTAACTATCTTAAAATGCTGTTATCTCTGAAGTTAATGTGTTTTTGGTTAGCAGCCTATTTGGAGGAAAACGATATTGTAATAGTTTAGAGTGTGCTTCGGAAGGATTAGGCTAGTTTTCTTGCGTGAGTCTTGGCGAGAGTTAGGCAGACGGCCTGCCAACCCTCTGGTTCGCCTTAGGGGGAAGTGGGGTCGCCACAAGACAGGCTCTACAGTAAAATCAAAAAATTTCTCAAAAATTTTAAACTATACACTTTAAAATATCCAAAATTCAAAAAATTTTCCTACAATTTCTATAATGAGTTGTAGTAAAATTTTAGATAAACATCCAAAAAATTCATTTGTCGGACAGAGCCTTAGCTATATTAAGCTCAAAAACTTCTCAAAAATTTTAAATTATGCACTTCAAAATATCCAAAAATTTGCACATTTCAAAATTTTTTTCTACAACTTCTAGAGTAAGTTACAATAAAATTTTAGATAAGCACCCAAAAAACTCATTAGGCAAATGGGGCCATTAGGCAAATGAGTTTTTTAAATATTTGTTTAAAACTTTACTGTAATTTATTATAGAAGTTTTAGAAAAATTTATTTAAGATGAAATTTTTTAATGTGTTTTTGGATATTTTGAAATATGTATTTTAAAAACATTGAAAATTTTTAAACTTATTACAGATAAAGTTATTAAAAAATTTGTAAGAGACAAACTTAGTCAAAACCATTAGCCAAACACGGTGACCAAAGAATTCAAAGCATGGAATTGGGCCCTTGTAGAATTGGAATTCTATTCTAATTCTTTTCAAAAAGCTGTATCCAAACAAAAGAATTAGAATTTTCAAAAACAAAAGAATTAGAATTGGCTCTCTCCAATTTCAATTCTATGGGCCCCAATTCTATGACACCAAACACACCTTACTAAGACGCTGTTTCAGTTTCAGTGAGGAGGGAAACAACAACAATAATAGGAGTTCCAAGGTTGAAGAAGGAAAGGCTTTTGCCGAAGAAGGGGACAATAAGGAGGGCAAGAAGTTGGAGGTGAGCGGAATGGAGGAGGAGAATATGAAATTATTGGAGAATAATGGGCAAGAAGATGTTGGCAAGAATGAGTTTAGGGAGAATGGAGAGTTGGGGAACAAGGAATTGAATTTGGAGAAGGGTAAGGAAGAAGGGGCAGAGGAGGAGAGGAGGGAGAATAAAGAAGGAAAAGTGAGTGATGAGGGGGAGGAAGGAAAGGGGGATTGTGATGGAAGAAGGCGTTATGCAAGCCAGAGGAAATCGAGTGTGGAGGCGAGGTTAAAGTTGGTGAGAATGATTATAGAGGAGGAAGAGTCGGAGGAAGGGGAAAAGAGCAGAAGAAAGTGGAGAAGACGACCCAAGGGGAAGAAGGAAGTTGGTAGTGAATCAGAAGGGCATCAGGAAGATGTGAAAGGAGAAAGCAAGAAGAGAAGGCAAGGGAGGAGGCCGTCTAATGCTGCAGTAGAGAAAGGAGGAGAGGAGAATGGTGGGAGTGGTGGTGAATTAATGAGGGGAGAGGAAAAGGAGCAGGGGGAAACTGAGAAGAAAAAGGGAGGAAAAAAGCGGCACAAAAACAAAGGAGGAGGAGCTGGAGAAGAAGGAAAGGGAGAGAAGGAAGAGAAACTGGTGACGTGGGACGTAGCTAAACCGAAGAGAGTGCTCAAGGATGAGAATGTAAGATATTTGCATTATCTGAAACTTGACATTACATAGTTTTTTTTTTTTTTTTTTTTTTTGCTTTTAAATTTGAATTTTGATGTGGCAGGGTATCTTAATTGAGTCCAATATGTGTCATCAGTGCCAGAGAAGTGACAAAGAAGAGGTTATTCGCTGTACCATGTGTAAGACGAAGAGATATTGTACTCCCTGCATAAATTCTTGGTATGAAATCCTAGATGCAGACAAATGAATCAAAATGTTTTTCATGTTCGTTAAGGTTCTTTAGCTGTCAGGATATGACACACTTGAAAGTGTCTATTTGTCTATTGTTGATATGGTGACCTGTTTTTGAGAGTTTGCATATCTTACTTTGAAGCTAAACATGTACTGCTTATTTTCAGTACTTGTCAAGCTTGTTGAAATTTGTCATTACCAAGTTTAATAGCAGTAGGAGTTTTTGGTGGGCCTGGACTGCAGTGTAAGCTTAATCAGTTGTGCTCTTGTGAGGAATAGTCGTTTAACTAGCATAGGTACATCTTGCCTTTTCTGTAAGTGTTGGTCATTATTTTTAATATATGGCTCATATGCAGGTACCCTGGTGTTCCACAAGAGGCTTTTGTGGAGTCATGTCCTGTTTGTCGGAAGAATTGCAACTGCAAAGCCTGTTTACGCATGGAGATGCCAATAAAAGTGATTTTTCTTCCACATGTTCCTACTTTCTTGAGCGTCCTTTTCGGTATTTGATCATATGTTCTCAATTGCTATTGTTTTATGTAGGACAAGGAGAAATTAGAACTGGAATTCAGTGCTGCAGAAAAGGTTGAGTACTCAAAGTATATCCTACAACTGCTTCTGCCATACCTGAAACAATTAAATGAGGAACAGATGATGGAGAAGGAGATAGAGGCAAAGCTCAAATGTACGCTCATGTACTCTCATTTTGTTTGTAGAAGCTCTGAGATTTTGTTGTCTATGTGCTTTTCATCTTAATTTTGGGAGTAGACATGGCAAGAAACAGAAGGCCAACTCATAATTATTTTAGCAGACACATAGACGCATAATAAAGTTGTTGGATCTATTAAAGCAAGTCCTAAATATGTGACTACTTGAGGACATATGCTTATTTAATTAACATAAGTGAATAAGTTCTCAGTTGAAAGTTGGTGATATGGGCTTTCACGTTTTTCTGGAACCATGACTTGCTTGGTGTTCTCTCTTGACACTCTCATGAACATGTTAACCAGATGCTATCCTTAAAGTGCCTTTTCTTTTGTTACTACTTAGTTTTCCTTCGTAAAATGACTTTTCTGGATAGACTTACAAGTATGGTTGCCATTTGATGTTTATGCTTTTTAACTACTAGTGTTCCTTTATGCTAATTTTTGGTCTAATGAATTGAAAAAGAATAGTTGACTAACATTTGAGAACCTCCTGAAAAATTGTGTATTAACAAATGGTCAGAGGATTTAATGTACTTATTTTTGTATTGCAGATTTGTCAGTGTCAGAGATCAAGGTAGAGAGAGGAAGCTGTGAGGATAGTGAGAGAATTTTTTGGTAGGCTTTCAAGCACAATCTTTTTGCTTACTCATTCATACTCCGCATTTTCAAGAGAATGATGTTTCATCATTTATCTGCAGCAACAACTGCAAAACTTCTATTGTTGACTACCACCGAAGCTGCCCCAATTGCTCTTATGACCTTTGTCTTCGTTGTTGTCGAGAGCTTAGGGATGGCTGTCTGCAAGGGAGTGATAAGGGAAGGACTGCAGAATTTATTGATCCGGGGCCAGATTACTTGCATGGTGGTGAGACATGTCATGCTAAGGGTTCAACTAAGAGCAGAATGTGTGTTAGATGGTCCCAAACTGAAACTGATACAGAGATGATTTGTGATGCACAAATTGAGAACGCTTCTGTGGATGATGTGGACATAGTTAGCCAATGGAAATCCAGTAAAGATGGTAGCATTCCCTGCCCTCCCTCCAAACTGGGTGGCTGTAGTCAGGGATTTTTGGAACTCAAGTGCTTGATTTCAGAGATTGAGATTTCTGAGTTGCTTGTGAGGGCAGAGAAAATGATAAAAGAATTCAAACTTGAAGATGCTCCTGAAATTTCTAAGAAGTTGTGTTCGTGTTCAAAATCTGCAGATGGACTTAATGTTAGCTGTGGTAACTTGCGTAAAGCAGCTTCTCGTGAAGATTCTCAGGACAACTTTTTGTACTGTCCAAAAGCTGTTGAACTTCAGCCTGAGGATCTGAAGCATTTTCAATGGCATTGGATGAAAGGTGAACCTGCGATTGTCAGGAATGTTCTTGATACAACATTGGGTTTGAGCTGGGAACCAATGGTGATGTGGCGTGCTTTTCGCCAGATTAAAAATGTTAATCATCCAATTCTTTTGAATGTAAATGCTATAAGTTGCTTAGATTGGTGTGAGGTCAGCTTATCTACCCTTTCTGCACAACATTTACATCATCTCATATGCTTTTTGGCTTTTCTGATTCAGAAATTTATGTTTATATCCAGTTTTGGCAGATAATAGCCCAATTAAAAATTGCAGCATGTGTGGGTGTTGCCTCATTGCATTTGGAACCCCTTTCTTCTGCAAGTTGTATCTTGCATCTAGCTCTTTAAGTATAGGTTTTTTATGACAATGTTGCTCATTTTTCTGATTTGAAATATCCTTTTTGTTCAATATCTACTTTCATCTTTTCTAAAAATCAGTAGCTTTTGAAAGGCAGGGCAGAGAAAAATGTGGCTCAGTGGTTGTAAGTTAAATATATTGGGTTAGTTTAGGGTGATGGACTATGAGTTATGCATTTGTTTTGGATATACATGCTGGAAGTTGTTTGGATCGTTTATGGGGTCAGCTTGGTTATATTTTCCCAATAAAATCATTGCCTAGTGTGCTGTTTCTTATTAAGTGAATGGATCGAATGTGGTGATCTAAATTGAATAAGTAATTTGACAATGTCATGTAGGTTTAATTCAGTTCTGGAAGATTAATTCTATTTTACTTTGGGAGACCTTTTACTGTGCCTTTGAGCACTCTTCCTACACTTTGAGATCTTTTGGTCATTAATTTGTATCTTATGTTGGGTGTGTCAATGGTGCAGTAGCATTTTGTATCCTCAGATCTTATGTCAGAAATAAATGAATACTAAGCTGGATGCCTTCTGTCTGAAATGCTACTTATGTCTCCACCTTCAAGCATAATGCTCATATAACCCATCACAATTGAAAGTTCTCATTCTATAAACAGTATATTTTGTTGATATTATCTGAGTATGCTTTATTAACACCCTTGAATGAATCTCAAGATCCGCATTCTGTTCAAATGACTAAATATTGCAGTTATACAGTGTCTTGATTTGGATTTTTAATTAAATTTTTAGTACTTCTATTGCATACTTTGCAGGTTGATATTAATGTACACCAGTTCTTTCGAGGTTATTCCATGGGTAACTTTGACAGTTATGGATGGCCACAGATTTTAAAGTTGAAAGATTGGCCTCCATCTAGTTTATTTGAGGAGCGGTTACCTCGTCATAATGCTGAGTTTATTAATTGCTTGCCTTTTAAGGTTTATACTCATCCACGTGGTGGGTATTTAAATCTTGCTGTCAAGCTTCCAAAGAATTGCTTGAAGCCAGACATGGGGCCAAAAACATATATTGCATATGGATATGCTGAGGAACTTGGACGTGCAGACTCTGTTACCAAGCTTCACTGTGATATGTCTGATGCGGTATGGAATACAATTTTGTATTAGTGGCATTTTTCTTTCTTCCTTAGCTTTAGTTATCTGGAGGGTGCGGAGTGTGGACTTAGTTTTGCATAAACTTGCAACTCAAGGCTCATAGTATAGCAACTCAATGCTCATAGTATCTCCATCAGACCTTTTTTTGTTTGTTTGCTTGTAGAAGCATTTGATGTATGGTGCAACTTGGAGTTTCTGGGATTAACTTTAAGACATCACCATGTCCCAAAAAAATTTGTTAGAAATGCCCTTGTTTAGGGTAGTTGTGACATTGAAAGTTGAGTTTGAGGAAAAAATGGTGATTAATGAGAAGTCTGTCAAAATTTACACATGGTTTACTTCCAATTTTGTCATTGGACTTGGTAAATAACATTTAAGGTGGCGGTCGTAAAGCATAAAAGTTACTTTCTCACATCCTTTGGAGTGGCAAGGTGTTAAGACTTTGGAAATCAGGAAATGTCACATAACATTTTATTGCATATTATTGCTGTCAATTGTTAGAAGTTGTCTTAACTTTGGTTGGCTTAGAAGTAAATTGGAGCTAGAATAATGCATTCCAGAGTGCTGGATTACCCGACTCTGAAAAATGTTCTGGTGATTATTACCCAGGCTCCTAGATTATGGTGAAAAATGATAGAAAATAGTGCTTTGAGTAAATTGGAGCAGTGGGATTTAAATGGCGGGGGTTTGACATTTAGAGGAACTCTAGTACCATGGACCATCTGCATCTTTGTTACCTTGTTCTCCTCTTAAATTGCTTTATGTACTTATATTGTTCCTTGTGAATGTTCATTGCTGATTTCAGGTGAATGTGCTGACACATACTGAAGGTGTTGTCCTAAAACCTGAAGAGCTTTTGAAAATTGAAAAATTGAAACAGAAGCACTCTGCACAGGATGAAAGAGAGCTAAGCAGATATGGAAAGACATCTCATCATATATTTGACATGCAGGATGAGGCTGAAGGGAAAATTTCTGTAAGCAACTGTTTGAGGATTCCGCAGAGGGTGGGGATTGATGTTTTGGAATTGAATTCTGAAACCAAAGAACTCAAAGTATCTGATCAGGTTGGGGGAGGCTCGCAAACTATGTTTGAGAAGGGAGGGAGGAAGAATGGAGATAATGGAGAAGTTAACCATGAGACTATGCATATTGATACTAGTGCTAGTGGCAATGGTGTGAAGGAAGGTGGTAAAAGGAAGAGAGGAAGAAAAAAAGGAGAGAAGAATAAAGCTGAAAACATTGAGAGAAATAGTCTGATTGATGCTGAAAATGTTGATCAAGAAAATGGAAGATCTTACATCTCACTGGAAGTTCAGAGAAGTCATGATACTGAGCTTGAATTTGTTGATGTGCAAAATAGAGTTGAATGTAATGAAACAAGTATAGATGGAAAATTGGATGAAAGGAAGGGGGTAGACGTTGTTGAAGTCTTAAGAAACAATGTTGAAGGGTTTGCGGACATGGATAGTGGTGCTTTGTGGGACATATTCAGGAGGCAGGATGTGCCTAAATTAGAACAGTATCTCATGAAACACTATAAGGAATTCAGACATGTTTATTGTCGTCCACTAGAACAGGTAGCTACTAATTTGCAAATGCTGTCTTCTCGATGTTACCTTGAACTTATTTTGTTGTTTGCAGTTTCTTGGTTGTCAATTCAACTTGACATATGGGTGATGCTTTTGCATATTGTGACTGTTCATGGTATCTTTTCTCCTGGTTTGTCGTCTAATAGAACTAGCCCCACTGTTTAGAAAAGGAAGACAATCGTCTGTACTTGTTCTCTCATCCCATTTAGATATTTGATGCAATTTGTGTCTTTGTAAAATGCAATATCTTGGAAACATTTCAGTCTTTTTACTAGAATAGTTGTATATACACCTCATGCCAAATAGCTTATGTTATGGTTTTTGCTTCATTTTTTTGAAGTTTGGACCTTTCTCTGAATGTTTGATATATTTTCAAATTAGTATATGATTGATTAAGCATTTTTTTTCCTTTTTTGGTTTTTCATTATAATGGTCATTAGGCTGCATGTCTGTGGTATAGTCAGAGAGTGCGAACGAAATTTCATCAGCAATTGTGTAGCCATGCTAGCAGTTACAGCATTTTATTAAAGTGACTGAGTTAAAGTTGCTTGAGTAATGAGATTACTGATTTAGGCATCTGCACATTGGCAAACCAAGAATTTTTCTCTTGGTTTGGGACAGCTAAACAGATAATTAGATAATAGAAGGGCTTAATCAAGTATTACCCACCTGTAATTAGGGTTAAGCAGCAAATTGCCCACTTTATTTAAAAAACCTACAAATTGCCCCCTATGACTGCTAGTCAAATGTACGTCTCTAGCAACAGGACAATTTGCCTTCATTATTACACATTGTTAGATGATCTTTTTTCTTTTCTCTTCTTCATCTTTTCCTATTATGTATAAATTTCTTTTTAGTCCTCCATATCGACTATAATATACAAATTTTGAGACTAATGTACCAAAGAATTTCTTTTTGTTGTTTAGCATAAACTTGTTTTCTTATGAACAATTTCTTTTGATGCATAAACATATTTATCATTATTTTGTTGTTTAAAATATTTAACTATTCTGAACTATTATACAAAATAAGTGTGTATTTAATAAATGTAAATTAAGTAGTTTCCATTTTTTATTAACAATTTCTTGTTGTGCTTTAACTGTAGATAAAATGTTGCTGATGCACTAGTATGCATTACTTGTTACTGAAAAAGATATTACATAAAATACTATTACTAAATATACACTTATTAGTCTCTTATAATTATAATAATTTATAATAGTTAAATATTCTACAGAAAAAAATGTATATGTTTAACTGTCAAATGAATTGTTAATAAGCATAAAGAAGAAAAGAAGATGAAGAAAAAGAGAAAAAAATAAGGAAAATATGTATTCTAAAAATTTAATTTTTTTAGTTACAAATGCATAACCAGATTTGTTAATAAAATAGAAATTACATAGAATAAATGTATACTTTTCAATTTAATTTCTCTTTCCTCTTGTTGTTGTCCTTATTGCATAACCTCTTGTTGTTTAATTTCTTTTACAAGAGGGCAATATGTAATTAAGCCTAATAGAAACTTGGTATGACTGAAAGCCAGTGTGGTAAAATGAATTCTTGAATGAAATGTTTGGATAAAAGTTTATATGATTGTTTATTTGCAATTTTCTGTATTGTTTCCTCTAATGCGGTGGAAGCTTTGTGCTCTTCAGATAAATGTTTGTCTTCCGCTAATTTGTCTACATCTTTTACATTTTATGTCAGGTGGTTCACCCAATACATGATCAAAGTATATACTTAACTATGGAACATAAGAGGAGGCTCAAAGAGGAATATGGTTAGGTTTTTGTTGTAGTTCTTTCGGCATATGGTTAGTCTTACTGCACGTTATTGAACATGGTTCTATGTGGTTGTATAGGTATTGAACCATGGACTTTTGTTCAAAAACTGGGCGATGCTGTTTTCATTCCTGCTGGCTGTCCTCACCAAGTCAGAAATTTGAAGGTAAGTTATTGTGTTAAGCATTTTCTTATCTCCTTTTCTGAAAGCATTTACTTTGTGTAACTTGTTATTCATTTTCTCAAACAACAACTAACTTTGAGGTGAAGAAGTCCATTGTCATGCTATAGTGCACCAAGAAACAATTTGCTTGTACATCAATCATGATTCAAATTCAAACGTCATGTGTCATCTCTTATAACTACACGATGTATAGTTGCTACTTGTAATAGTCAAAATTATTTCGGTACGGTTGATAAATGTATATAATAATACGTTGTCTTCAAATTTCTGCAAGACATGGGTTTGAGATGGTGTAAATTCTAATTGAATATATAGATGAGTTTTAGGTTACATTCTTTTGTATTTAGAAACATGTATTTGGTGATCAAGTGTAAAGATGATGCAGTTTATTATGGCTAGATTTGAATGACAGAATGGATGGTTTGGCATTGGTGAGAGAGGTTTTTTGAGGAGAAGATACCTTACAACTTGAACTTGTTTTCTAAAGGTGGTGGTCTTCTTTTTTCTCCCATCTGTGATCTTTTAGGCTGTTTTTTTTATTCATTTTAGCATGTATTTTAGATGGTGCTGTGGTCTTCTCATGTTGTAGATGCGTGGTGACATTGTAAAGTGTTTTAGTTGCCAGGCATGATGGCAGTTCTTTTTTTTTTCTGCTGTCTTCTCTGCGATCTTTTGGGCTATTAATTGAAATTCTTGATGTACCTTAAATAGGCTAGATCCTTTATTATCTAAATGACATTTGGTTTGTGGTGCTTATATTGGTTTACGAGGTAAGTTTTGGACCCAAGGACCTTTACTGGTCTAAATCTCATCCGTGGACTACATTTGCTGGAAATAAGTGTAGTCATGAGAGGGGATTAGTTGAATTAAATATCTACCATTTCCCTATTAAAAGTAAACAGCTAAAATGGCTTATAGTTCACAGCCTGTAGCCAGCTTTAGCATGTAGTTGCTGAATTCTCTTTCTCTTCCATATTTCTAATAGATAAAGCACAGGGTGGGCTTTCTCTTCTGATGTTATTATGTTTTAATGTGTATGATATTCTTCTGGTTTATTTGTTATTCAAGCCATACAACTTGAGATTCCTGCATTGATGTTGGATAACCTTTGCGCTAATAAGAAACAATAACCTTCATGCTAATGTTGTAAGATAACAATTGTGTGGACATTTATAAGGTCGGTAACCAAAATGATAACTTTGATTTAACATGATTGTTTGGGAACCGTACTATCTAAGGATGTATGTGATGATTGCAAACTATAAATCAATCAGTTTCCAAAAGTTCACTTGTTTGGTGTTTTATTTGTTTTGCGTTGCATAAAAGTTAATATCTTGAATTTCTTCTTCTTAGTTATGGAAGTCATTTGGTACTCTTTGTATGATGTTCTGAGGACCATGCCAATGTAGAGCTTCGTTTTGTCATGAAAACATCACTCTTAGATAGTTTCTCCTTTAGATTTTCTCCCAAGACTTATCATGTGGCAATGGCAGTCTTGACATGGAGCCTGGGAGAAGGTAAATGAGAGTTTTGACTCTCTGGATAAATGTGCCCCTTTGTAGGTTTTATGTCCTTTTGATCAAATGAATCTGCACATTGCATACTTCACCTTCTGAGTACAGATTCACATGTTGCAGTTAATGATCCCGCTAGAGGAATTTTTTACTTGTTTAATAGAATCTGAACCCATCAAGAAGCTCACTTTTTACTATTAGTCATTAGCCAATATGAGATTCAAACTTAGTATCCCATTTAAGTGTAACCAGTTTGGAAGAAGAATTTTTCAATGTCACCTTTTTTTATAGCCTTATTATCCATGTAAGGTGGAGCTAAAGAAGACATTTTAATTGGGAGAGGATATAACTTTAATTTTAATATTAAACTGTGTTTAAGCTAGTTTGTGAAATTTACCATGAAACAGGACAACAAATTCTCACCACTTATTCACTTATAACAGGTAAAAAATAAGTATACCATGAAAATCATTTATAAAGGTAATGTACCACTACTCATGGTGTCTGTGAAAGCTCTACCTTTTGCTGGTTCCGTAAATGATTTTATTGTTTAGTCATGTTTACATGTTAAAAGTGATAAGTGATGAGAACATGATTTCTGTTGTCTTGGTAAAGTTTGCATGCTAGATGAACTTAATTATGTATTGCGATAAAAGTGGTCCAAGCTAGTGCATACATATTATTATGTTTCATCCTTGTTGAAAACATGGAATTGTTTGTTTCACATCTTCTATTGATGCTTGAAGTCATGATATTGCTGCACAAAATATGGTTGTTGAAAAATTTTGTTTAGTACTATTTCAAACCTATGCTACAAAATATTTTTTTCCTCTCTCTGTCTATTTTCCTTTTTTTTGGGGGGGGGGGGGAAAGGAAGGGGGGGAGGGGAGGGGATTAGGGTTGCATGCCTTGATTGAAGTAGGTGCATTCTGTGGTGGGTTATTGCCTTGTGCTGAGCAATCTTCATTCTGTTTTATCAGTGAAACTACAAGGCATATTTTTTAGGCTGGGAAGAGCGGGTCATGTTTGAATTTGTAGTTGGGCTACATAGTGGTAAGGGTGAAAATATTAATATTAATTGATGAAAGATGCTCCAAGTAAATTTAGTTTCATAGATTAACTTGAGAGGGTTGCTCCCAACAAGCAGTTCAATGAATCTATGCATGAAATACCTTGAGATAGTCACTTATTTATGGATGTTACGCTTTCAACATCGCCCTCTTATTTTTGCCAATGTTATCATGAAAAGATGTAGGAGTTGAGCAAACCTCAGCTGCAGGATGATTTGTTTTAGATTATAATAATGATTCACATTCTTTGGTACTGAAGGTAAGATGTAGAAAAACATGCTTTTGAACTTTGTAGAATAAAAGAAGGCGATTTGTGTATGGATCATAAATGAATACTATCTGGCCGGGGATGAAGATTCATTTGAGCTGACTGCGTTGAAGTTAATGGTTACTATAAAGATTATACTGTTGTTTTGTATCATTACAGTATGAACATATCCAGTACCTGATTTTTTTGTACTAATGAATCCTTTGTCAGCATTTGCTGAATGATATCTCTTGATTTTCATAATCATCAATTGATCAAATGATGGGGAATTTGTCTTTGGAAGGCTGCAGCATAATTCATCTCTGTAGGATATTCTATTAATAACATGAGGATGGCCTTTATTGTCTCCTCTTTGCTATCTCCAATATGATTATTCGATTATTTGGATACACACCTATGTGAGATGAAACTAGATAACAGTAACCTAAAAATAGCAAAATAGCTTATGCGCTAAGAATGTGTATCATGGCTTGTTCATTTACTCAATTAACCTGCTTGTCTGATGATTTTCATTCTACCAAGTTCTTTCTTCCTCCCATGAAGTATTCTGTTCCCTATTACTTTTTCTATTTCTTCCCCTCCTTTCTCGCCTAGATGGGGAATTTGTCTAAGGCTGCAGCATACTTCATCTTTATAGGATATTCTATTAATAACATGAGGATGGCCTTTATTGTCTTCTCTTTGCTATCTCCAATATGATCATTTGATTATTTGGATACACACCTATCTGAGATGAAACTAGATATCAATAACCTTAAAAATAGCAAAATAGCTTATAGTCTAAGAATGTATTTTAAGAGAATAGCTAAAAAACAGTTTGTAACTGTTGTTAGGATTATGAATGCATCATGGCTTGTTCATTTACTCAACTAACCTGCTTGTCTGTTCATTTTCATTTTACCAAGATCTTTCTTGCCCCCATGAAGTATTCTGTTCCCTATTACCTTTTCTATTTCTTTCTAGGCAAGTAAGGCAAACGATAATGTTTGGCAAATTGGCATGACTCATAATCTAAAGGGATAAATTTTGAAAATTTGGACACAACTTTTTCAAAATGGGTAGAGATGGATGACCCAAACGACAGTGAATTTCAAGCGGAGTCAAGGTGGAGGAACATGCAACAGGTTTCGGCACTTTTGATGAAGGGGTTTCAAGTGTATACAGACCGCCAGACTCACGTCCTTTACCAATAATCTTCCCCGTCATAAGATCCTGAAAAACACAATATTCAAGAAAGAATGAGACAGCACTTGAGAGCTTTTGTAATTTTACTGACTGAGAGTAGATTAAACGAAAAATTAGGTAAGCATAAGACTGAATATAAGGGGATAGATGACACAGGAATTGCTATACCAGAACCCACAACTGAAGCATATGACCCATCAGCCAAAGTAACATTCGGATGATCTTTGCTAGGATTAAAAGAGAAGAGGATATCTTTATTACCGGTCATATGATCTGTTGCACCGGAATCGATGACCCATTTGTTAGAAGATGACACAAGGCATGTAGTAGGTTTACCTGAGTGATCAATAGAAGGAGGATTGGTACTAGAAGATGGGTTAGCAGATTTTTGTGAGGCTTGGAACTCAGTAAAGCGGGCTAACTCATCAGCAAAGATGAGTATGGATTTGTCAGACGGCACATAATTATTTTCCTGGGATGCGAAATTTGCAAACGGGACTGCTGTTGAGGTCTACCATGAAGGTCCCAACACGTATGCATGGTATGGCCTGGTTTCTTACAGTGATAACAGACTCGCTTATTTGAGTTGTATTGTTCATGACCAGCAATCCCATCAGTCCCATTTTTGCCACTGTTTCTACCATTATGACAAGCTCCACTTTGACTCGCGAGAGCACTAGTAACATTGGAAGTAGACAAAGATCCCTCGGTTCTCAACACTCGTGTGAAAGTTTCATGGAGGGAAACATTCTCTGGGCTAGAGAGAATTTGTGTTCGAGAGCATC